GTGGAGATCCACAACCCACGTCTGGGCTCCTTGGTCTACAACTACAAGCATTGGATTGCACAATGGCAGCCAGGGGAGGCTCCACTCGCCTTGTGCGCATGCGCAGATCTACCACACAGTATTCCACACCACTCCCACGTCTTGGGGACCTACAACCCACCACTCTGGAAAGCCCTACGGTCTGGCCCACCAAACACCATTTCTACAAGCATACCATCAAAGTCGGAAAAACGTGGATGAAGCGCTACAAGCTACCTGATCACAACCACGACCAATGGGCATCTTTCCTGGCCAACCAGCGGCACTTACACAGCAACCACTTGGCATCCACTACAGCACGTTCCAGCCAAGAAGTCAGACAACTCTGCACCGCCACTTCTCATTTGGTCCGCCTCCCCGCCGACCACCATCCTCATCGAGTTTATTTGGCATGCCCACTACACTTCTTCACGCTGCTCAACCGCACCTTCGCCAACGGCACCGTTTTCTCCGTTTGCCACCCTCAACCCCTTGATGAGCTACTGTCTGAACTGAAGCGTGCAGTTCCCACCACTCTGCGCAAGACATACGCCTGGGGCTTCAACTGGAAACGCACCATCCCCTACGCCTATTTCCTCCCAAAGGAGTCCAAGTTATGGCAAGCTGCTCGGCTCATCGTCAGCTACAGCGACACCTGGTGCACTCCATTAACTTCGGCCCTGGCCCTCGCAATTTTTGAAATCATGCGCCACACTCTGCCGGCCCACCTGGTCACCACGGACACGAAGCTCATCCTGAAGACGCTCCACTCCAACCTCACCAAAGCACCTCATGTGTGGGGGTTGCAGTTTCGGCAGCAGCACATCAGCGGCTTCTTCAACTCCGTGGAGCACGACCGCATCATTTTTTGTATTGAACGTCTCCTGCAGAGATTTACTCAGCAACAACGCCTCCCCGCGGACTACCACTTCAGCGTCCAGGTGCAGCGGAAACATTGACTTTCTCGTGTATTCCGAGGAGTGTGGTGGCGTGAAACATCTTCACGCGTCTTTCACCTCTCCCACGTGCCAGAGTTGGTGCGCCTGGTCCTCCGCACATCTCTCGCCCAGGTGGGCGTGACCACAGTACGACAAGTACGCGGTGCATCTATGGGCAACCCCTGCGCTCCGGCTTTGTGTGGAGCAGTGGCGGCACTATGGGAAGTCTCTTTCTACGAACACTGCTGCATCCGACAACCTCAAGTTTCAGTTGTCACGGACTTGCGCTACGTTGACAACCGTTTCGCGCACTACATCGCAGGCGACAAGTTTCATTGGCCATGGCGTTTCTTTTTTCCACCCCTTCGTCTATCGACCACCCCTCCTGCTTGATCACGTGGACTCCGAGGACGTGATGGGCTTCCGCATCAACCACTCCAATCATTCCATTTTCATGAAGGTTCCCACCGAGACGGACAGTTTTCGTTCTACTAGCTCGGCCTGCTCTTCAGCAGCGGTTTTGTCAGGATTCCGGGCACGTGCCCTTTTAGCATTTCGCTTCACAAGACCCCGCAGCGCCATCCAGGACACCATCCAGCAGCTCCAGGCGCAGTACTTGCGAGCAGGCCTTCCGCGTGAGCTTCTCCTAAGTGAGACCCGGAAACTCGAGCACCGATTTCATGTATGCAAAACAAGTGCCCCCTTTTGCCTTTTGCTTTTGTTGCTTTTGGTTCGTTCTTGTTGTGCTGCTTGATGAAACTACTCAACGCACTGACTTCATTGATTATGCCCAACCGGGTCTCGCCACCTGCCCTTTTCACGGACGCCATGGCTTGGCCCTTCACACACCAGACACTCCGGCGTCACGAACACCTTCTCCTCGACGGTGAGTTTCCCGTCTCCGTTTTGCACATCTTCCAGCCAGGGACCTTTGTTTTCCAGCGGTTTCCTGATGTCCGAGAAGCAGCAGGTCGATCACCTTGACCAGCTAGGGACAAAATCCTCCCCTTCGGCGCAATCCAGACCTCGTTCACGGTCTCGCTCTGGCCCCCGCCCGACCACCTCCGTGCGGATCGACCACCCTGCATCCTCGGTGTGCGCCCCTGCTACTGGTGCTTCTCGCGCACGGACCCGACCCACAAGTTTTGGACAGGCGGCGAAGACCTACGTTTGACCCACCAGGACTTCGAGGAGTTCCACATCTATGACGACAATGGCAACGAGCTTTCTTCGCCTTGGCCTCAACGACCGCAATGAGCCTTTTTGTAGATTTTCCTAGTGTCTTTCAGCTGTTTCTTTCTGCGGTTGGTACAAAAAACGAGCCTGCTGCGGACTGTCCCTTGCGGCCCCCGGGAATTGTGACTTTTTTGGCCCCCAAGAGGGGGCGTGTGTGTGTAAACCCTGACGTCTGGAAAGGGTCTGCTTCGGCAGTGAGCTTTTTCTGTTTTCTACTTCATGGAGTCTGCCCATGCCAGCAAACCGGCCCCCTTTCTTAGTACCTCGTCGCGGTAGTCATGGGCACTGACGAGTAGCCGCGGCGAGCGAACAGATCGGGAAGGTAAGCTGACGAAACTCCACCCTGTTCTCTAATTTGATTACGACTTCAAGGAACCCTGGGCTCCTTCGTGTTCATGCTTGCCCGCCTTAAGTGGCTCACGGAATAACAGGCCTTATGGCAACTGGGTGCTGCTGCAGAACGTGCTGGCTGCGAAGTTGAGCTGAAACTTCCAGGCGGGGGCGCGTTGGAAGTGGTCAAGACCCATTGGCTCGGGTGGGTGTGGCTCAAAAATCAAGACCCAGGGCTACGCAGGCTTTAGTCTATTTTTCCATTTGCCAGGCTTCCATTTTGGGCCACTATTTTTGACCCACAGCCAGGTCTGTATGATATTGTTGGTTGTTGCATGCCTCCGGCATCTGTTCATCTTCTCGCCGCACGCCAACACCACCCCTATGACAACACCCGGATTCAACTCTTGTGGATTGTGTTATATATTTGTTGTCCTTGTTTCCACCAAAAGTTCTTACACAATACGCTTTCTCACTCAAACGCCAAATCTCATATTGGGTTTCATAGGATGGTTGTGATTGGGCAATTCTGCACAAGAGAGGAATGTTTAAAACACAACTTCAATTCAGCCCCAGCCCCGTTTTCCCTGTGCGGTTTTCCGGCCAGTTGTTCAGAGTTGTTCTAAGTTTTTCCCGCCATGATGGACGAGTTTCTGGGCAAGCGAGGTTTCTATCTGGCCATTCCAGTTTGGCCGAGTTCACGCACATTTTGCCAAGCGCTGGCACATTGTCGAGTTGCTCGACGGTTTCTCCGGTTGTTTCTGTACTTTTGCAGCCAGTGACCTCCTGGCTTGGGGTGTTTTCCGAGCCCATTTTGAGGTTGGTATTGGCGGCTCTGGGGTTGGCGCTCCCCGGTTTCCAAACGGGTTTGTGTCAACTTTGCATGTGTCCAGGTTAGGGCCCCGACGTTTGCCCAGAGACTTTGGAAGCCTCACGTTTTGGAGTGCTCAAAACACTACCCACCGCTGCTCAGGCGTGGTTCAGCCAGAGCAGGCAGAGCAGGCAGAGCAGGCGGGGACCTGCCAGCCAGCTTGCCTGAGGCAGTTTGCTCGGAATGTTCGGGGGAGACGCACTTTGGCGCGGGGTCTTGCCGGGCCTGAATGGAAGCCCGGGTTTTCGGGAGTGCCCGGTGCGACTGATTCCTGCGCGCAGTCGTTCATGATGCGCGCCAGGCCTGGCGCGACAACGCAACCGCTTGCCACCTGAACGAGGCGCGCCTGCTGTGATTTGTATTTCATGGGGCCGGCGGGGTGGAAGACATTTTGGTTTGACGTCCAAATCTGGACCTTAGTTGTTGGTAGCCAGAACAAACTAAGGCAAGCAAAAGCCTGATGTCTGATGGTACTGGAAGTCCCTGGTCTACGGATTGTTGGTCCACGCGGAGATGCAACGATCTCCTCTTCTATGGCGCGTGTAATGGACATGTTTTGCTAGAAAGAAGGGCCTTGCGCCAGAAATGCATGGTATGGTACACATGATTGCCAAAGGGTCAATGGTCTGCAAGACACAGAACACGCGCTGGGTGTGTGGGTGGGCTGAGTGAGAAAAAGCGAGCGCGAGAGGCGACATGCGCACGAGTTGCCTGGAAGAAGAAGAAGAAAGAAAGAAGGGCGCGTCAATGAGCTTGAAAATCATATTAGTCGCGTAGATTTCGCGGGGGATGCTTGGCCACGTTTCAGACTCGCAAGCCAAAGGCTAAGCCAGCTCAAGCACGCATTTGTGTGGAACAAACTGTATGACGTTTTTGTGAAGTTGGCATCGCGGAAATCCATTAATGGAGCTCTGCTACTCTTGTACTGAGAAGTCTGTCAAGCAACCGTTTGCCGCTGGCAGGACAGCCTCCGCATGCCCTTGCAACCCTGAGCGTCGAGCGCGCGTACGAATTTTTAAGATTTCAATTGAGCTCGGAGGTGTCACTCATTTTAGTACTAGGGCTGCAAGACTCGCACCTAGCTTACACTCAGCCGCATCGAAGTCAACAATGCATTTGCGCTTGCCCATGTCGTTTGGGCAGGAGGCACGCAGTGCACAGCTCCATTTTGCACTCGCGCCAAGAGCGAGTCCTTGGTAAGGTCATGTGTTGAGTCTTTGGGCCGATGCCATTGACTGGCTTGCCGAAGTTTCAGCCGCTCAAAGATCGCTCGCTCAGAGACTGCGTCAAAGGCACTGTTTTGTCGTGAGCAAGCCGCCAAGCATTGCTGGTTCACTTCTGTGCTGGGTGTTTGGCCCGGGCAGACTACAGAGTTTGTGGTAGCTGCATGCTTGCCAGAGCAGCTTAGCAAAGCTGGGCATTTTCAGGAGTGCTTGAAAAGTGTAAGCGTCAGCGCCACATCGACAGCTGCAGCTGTTGCCACTTGGCATCATAGCACTTGACCAAAGACCCAAGACGTGCGCATGATGTCCTAACATAACGGTTGCCAACCGCAGTATCACGCGCGCTGTGCTTGCACAGCTGTTGACTCAAGGCATGTCGTGCTGTTAACGACCTGCTGTTTGCCTTGCTGAGTGCGGTGGAGCAGCGGCGCAGCGGAAAGCATGGCACTGGCATAGCCTTGCTACTGACCGGCCCCGATTGTGTGCTGAATGCCGCATTTTTGGCCCGCAGTACAAATCAGCTGCCTCGTTTGCAGCGTTTGTCTCAACGAAGGATAGCTCCAACTGAGCGTAGAGGCACACGCGCGCCCAGACGCGCACAGACACGCACCGCTTGGTGCAGCGCATCTTAGTGATGGACAGCGTCAGCGGGCCCTTCGTGCTGAAGCCTTGTGAGAGATGCGCTTTGCTTCGGAGTTGCGGGCCAGGTTTTTGTGAGGCCAGCTTAGCCTGATCTCTGCCATGTCCGCCGGCCGCCTCGGACGCGGATCTGCGCTCCGTCTCGCTTTGTCCTGGAGGCCCACTAGCTCGGCTGAGATGGTTCATGACCCATCCAACTAGGGGGTGTCACTCACAAGAGTGAATGACTCCCATTGAAACCCAACGCCTTAATTAGTAAACTAGTGCTGCAAGGCTGGAACCTGTCTACTCAGCCGCATCGAAGTCAACACATTTGCGCTCGAGGTCGTTTGGGCGCAGGAGGCACATGCACAGCTCAGTTTGTGTGTGCCAAGAGCGAGTGGTTGTTGGTAGTGTCATGTGTCGAGTCTTTGGGCCGATTGACTGAATGACAATGTGATTTTGAGAGGGCGCTTTGAACATTCGAAGCGCTTGCTATGAAGGACTTGAAGATGAAAGGGTCTGATCGAGCGTGTGGCAGAGTATCACTATGCACTGAACATTTACAGGGCTGTGAAGCCAGGACAATGGGCAAGGCGCGATGCTGATAAGTGTCTTGCCTTGCTGAACGCTTTGGAGCATGCTCTTGGCGGGAAGCATGGTATGGGCTCTGGGATGCATGCCAAGACTGTATGCAGCCTCGTTTGCAGTGCTCGTCTGAATGCGATAGCTTCAACCAGGCACGCAGACGTGCCAGCACTATCGAACACATAGACGCATAGTAGCACCATCACACACACACACACACACACGCATGCAGGTTTTGCTGCTCGCCTTTGCTGCTTGCGTGCAAGCTAAGAGGCATTTCGAGCATTGCATGACTGAGGGGCAAGGGCAGCCTGCAACAAGGTTTACGCCTGCAGCATCTAGGCGAACTGCTGGGCACAACAGCGAATCTTAGTGTTGGAAAGGACAGTGCCCGCTGCGGATTCAGCTCGGACTTGTGGCGTAAATCACGTTGTGATGAATTCAGGCCGTTCGCAGTTGAGTTGTTTGGACTTCCCTTGCCTGGGACTGACCCTGGCAGCTCTGCGTTTTGCTTGTTTAGGATGGAGTCCTGCACTGAGACTCTAAGAGATCTTCCTGAGTTTTCAGTAGCGCTGGGAACTGAGGGGTTTTGTGCCAGAAAGTGCCCTCTGAAAGATAGCACTCTCAGACACTGCGTCAAAGGCACTGTTTTGTCGTGAGCAAGCAGCACCATGCATTGGTGGTTCACTTCTGTGTTGGTTTTTTTGCCCGGGCAGACCACAGAGTTTGTGGTAGTTGCATGGTGTGGCAAGTGTCCGCTTGCTTGCCTGAGCAGCTTAGCAAAGCTGAGCAATTTCAGAGCCGCATCGACAGCTGCTGCATGCAGATCCCGGCTGTTGCCGGATTGGCAAGTTCCGTTGCATGTTGGAGAACCAGGTGTCGCACAGATTGGCTGAACACCCTGAGATGTAGCTGTGAGAAGGTTGCCAACGGCGTGCAGCTGTTATCATTGCCACATTGCGCATTGAGCATTTGCCAATCTGGGGTGCGCTGAGTATGGGTAGCGCGTGATCCTGAGGAGTTGCTTGCCTTGCTAGCAGTGCTAATGACACGGCCACTTTTGCAAACCAGACAGGCCCACCCTGCCAGTTCTGCAAGTTCTTGGTATTGGATGCAGAAAGTCGCAAGAGTCCGCAATGAGGTGCAGCGGCACTGGGTCGTCTATTCGTCGCCATGTTTTGCTCCTTTGCGCCAGTGTTGAGTTTGTGGGCTGAATTGGTTGCCGCGTTTGCGGCAGGCGCATGGTGTGGCATGTGTCCGCTTGCTTGCTTGAGCAGCTTTGCAGATTTGAAAAGCAAACATAACGGTGCCATATCGGCAGCTGTGCCGTGCAAGGGCCAGCTGTTGCCACCTGGCTGGGCAGTTTGACGCCGAGGCATGCAGGTCTGCTCACCCAGGCTCTGTGTCAAAAGCGCAACTCGTAGTACATGTTTGAAACATTGGCAGGCGAGAAGCCGCAGTGTCACACAGGGCTGCTGAAGGCTTGAGATATGAGAAGAAGTTGCTAGCAGGTTTGATCCAGCGCATGACACTGTACCGCTTTGTCCAGCAAGCATGATGTGTGTACCTTGCTTGCCTTGCTGAACGTGGTTGTCTCAACAGGATATCCTCAACTAAGCGCATACATGCATAGCACTGACTATTGGGCTTCGCGCTTGCGCCAGGCACTTGCGCGTAGAGGCGCCTGCTTGCGCTTCTTGCGGAGGGGCGTGTTGGGCACGACTGGACTGGGCGACAGGCGCAAGCTGCAATGAGTTTGGCGCCTTAGCTGCCTGGCACGCTTTCTCAGCTTAGTGTTAGAGAGGGTCAGTCACCATTGCCTTTGCGGCCGAGCTGGCTGGGAGATGCACTATACGCAGCATCGTTTGAGGCAATGTCAGTGCTGAAGGATTGGCTGAGAGCCTGCCGGTTTGAATCGTGGCATTTGCTTGGACAAAGTGTTGGGCTCTTCGCGCACGCTTGAATTTGCATATCTGTCATGCGATTGCAAGACTTCCGCCTCGTCTCGCTGCGCTGAAGGCCTTGGACGATGTTCGCAGTTGAGCAGATTGTTTCTACTTCCCTGGCCTGGGACTGACCCTGGCAGCTGCAGCTCTGCGGTTTGCTTGCGTAGGATGCAGTCCTGCGCGAAGACTCCACAGATCTTCCTGACAGGGTTCTTGTGTGGTTCGTTTTGAACCGTGCTATTCCACGTGTCAGCTTTTGTTGTGAATGTAATCAGTCTCAGCTTGCAGTGGCACCGGGTGGCACTCAGGGGCTTTGTGCTCAGAAACGCACGCTTGGAGACTGCGCGAAGGGCACGCTCGGGGTCATTGTCTTTCGGTGCGCAAACAGCTTGTTCGGTTCTGCATTAGCGTGTTTGGGCCGAACAGACTACAGAGTTTGCGGTAGTTGCGTGGTGTGGCAAGTGTCCGCTTGCTTGCCTCAGCAGCCTCAGAAGCTTGGCAAAGCTGGGCAATCTAAAGGCGCAAGCGTCGCCGCATCGACGCTGCGGCCTGCACGGTCTTGCGGTTGCCGGCCATTGGACAAGCGCAAGGCAGGTTTCATATTTCGCCAGGCCGCGGGGGTGGAGTCGCAAGACTTCAGATGTACCTGTGAGAAGATGTTGCTAAGGGGTCTGACCACGTTGATAAGTTGCCTGCCTTGCTGAACGCACTGGAGCATTATGGGCCGGCTCTTGGCGCCTAAGCACACAGCCCACGCACGACACCAGGGCTGCCTGCTGCCTGCTTGAGCCTGCCGCTTGTGCCTGCTGCTTGCGCTTTTTGCGTGTTGGGCAGTGCACGACTGGACTGGGCGACAGAACCAGAGTTTGGCGCCTCAACCTGGTGGGCTAGCTGCCTGGCACGCTTTCTCAGCTTAGTGTTGGAGAGGGTCAGTCACCAGTGCCTTTGCGGCCGAGCTGGCTGGGAGATGCACTATACGCAGCATCGTTTGAGGCAATGTCAGTGCTGAAGGATTGGCTGAGAGCCTGCCGGTTTGAATCGTGGCATTTGCTTGGACAAAGTGTTGGGCTCTTCGCGCACTCTTGAATTTGCATATCTGTCATGCGCTTGCAAGACTTCCGCCTCGTCTCGCTGCGCTGAAGGCCTTGGACGATGTTCGCAGTTGAGCAGATTGTTTCTACTTCCCTGGCCTGGGACTGACCTTGGCAGCTGCAGCTCTGCGGTTTGCTTGCGTAGGATGCAGTCCTGCGCGAAGACTCCACAGATCTTCCTGACAGGGTTCTTGTGCGGTTCGTTTTGAACCGTGCTATTCCACGTGTCAACTTTTGTTGTGAATGTAATCAGTCTCAGCTTGCAGTGGCACCGGGTGGCACTCAGGGGCTTTGTGCTCAGAAACGCACGCTTGGAGACTGCGCGAAGGGCACGCTCGGGGTCATTGTCTTGCGGTGCGCAAGCAGCTTGTTCGGTTCTGCATTAGCGTGTTTGGGCCGAACAGACTACAGAGTTTGCGGTAGTTGCGTGGTGTGGCAAGTGTCCGCTTGCTTGCCTCAGCAGCCTCAGCAGCTTGGCAAAGCTGGGCAATCTAAAGGCGCAAGCGTCGCCGCATCGACGCTGCGGCGCGCACGGTCTAGCGGTTGCCGGCCATTGGACAAGCGCAAGGCAGGTTACATATTTCGCCAGGCCGCGGGGGTGGAGTCGCAAGACTTCAGATGTACCTGTGAGAAGATGTTGCTAAGTGGTCTGACCACGTTGATAAGTTGCCTGCCTTGCTGAACGCAGTGGAGCATTTTGGTATGCGCAGCCTTGTCACCTGGCCGGCTCTTGGCGCCTAAGCACACAGCCCACTCACGACACCAGGGCTGCCTGCTGCCTGCTTGAGCCTGCCGCTTGTGCCTGCTGCTTGCGCTTTTTGCGTGTTGGGCAGTGCACGACTGGACTGGGCGACAGAACCAAGCTGCAATGAGTTTGGCGCCTCAACCTGGCAAACTAACTGCCTGGCACGCTTTCTCAGCTTAGTGTTGGAGAGGGTCAGTCACCATTGCCTTTGCGGCCAAGCTGGCTGGGAGATGCGCTATACGCAGCATCGTTTGAGGCAATGTTGCAGTGCTGAAGGACAGGCATATCTTTGACGCCTCGTCTGGCTGTGCTGAAGGCCTTGGATGATGTTCGCAGTTGAGCAGGTTGCTTGTACTTCTCCGGCCTGGAACTGACCCTGGAGGTCTGCGGTTTGCTTGCGTAGGATGCAGTCCTGCGCGAAGACTCCACAGATCTTCCTGACAGGGTTCTTACGCGGTTCGTTTGAAACCTCCGTGCCATTCCACGTGTCAGCTTTTGTTGTGAATTTAACCAGTCTCAGGTTGCAGTGGCACTGGGTGGCACTCAGGGGCTTTGTGCTCAGAAACGCACGCTTGGAGACTGCGCGAAGGGCACGCTCGGGGTCATTGTCTTGCGGTGCGCAAACAGCTTGTTCGGTTCTGCATTAGCGTGTTTGGGCCGAACAGACTACAGAGTTTGCGGTAGTTGCGTGGTGTGGCAAGTGTCCGCTTGCTTGCCTCAGCAGCCTCAGCAGCTTGGCAAAGCTGGGCAATCTAAAGGCGCAAGCGTCGCCGCATCGACGCTGCGGCGCGCACGGTCTTGCGGTTGCCGGCCATTGGACAAGCGCAAGGCAGGTTT